CAAAATAATTTTAAAACAGAACTTAAAACACTGTACAAAGCTTTAATATGATACAAATGGAAAAATTAAATAAATACACTTTTATGTACAGATGGCGTATACAAAAGCACTCCAAGTTTCTGCCAATACTCTTATGTCCTTTGTTGCCTGAGCAAAAGTGTAAAGGGAGCAGCTTGAGGGGAAAGGGACACAATACAATAATACCTTTAGAATATTTCAAAGAGCAGTATCTCATCTCTCTGATTTCATGAAGAGAAGAGGGAGACAAAAGAAGTGGAATTATTAAAGTTGTGTATTCTAGTAACTCATTGGTCTTGCTCCCAAAAGAAAATTCTGGTTTGTGGCTGCGTCTGATTTAACATCGTTCATAACTTTTACGGTTTCTCTCTCATTCAAAACTAGATGTTTCCCTCCTCCCCTCTTTTTCCTAGAAACTAGGAACTACTTAGAAGTAAATGGCCCAAAGAGATAGGCACTGGCTAGTTTAGTAAAGGAGTCTGGAGGAAGAACAGGAACTGTATGCAACAGCAAGAAGGGAGGGGGCTGAAGTGGAGTTATCTGATATGTTCTCCATCCAATCCAATTTCAAAGCCCCAAGGGTCACAGTCTTATCACCTTCTTAGCTCTGTATTTCTGAATGCCTTTTTTTTTTTTTGCTTAGTGAATTTATTTATCTGGTGAATTGTTTAAAAACAAACTACTGGAAAAAGTCCCAAGGGCTTTTCCATCCCTGGATAACTCCTTAAACATCACATTCAAGCTCTGGTAGCTAGCTATGTTTACCCCGTCGGTGAGTGAAGAGCACCCAGACCGAATCCAGATATGGTGAAGTGCTGTATGTGAATTTTTAAAGGTTTTAAATTCTAATTTATAAGGGGGAAAAGCATCCTATGGCAACAGTGTATATAAAAACTTAGTTTACTCAATGTTTTTAACTAGGTGAGTGAATACTTAAACACACAATATGAAACAATATTAATCTACTTAAAAGATAGGTAAAATTCCCATCTATCATCAGTGTGTAAAATTATGTGATCATCAAATCCTATAATTGGAACAGCTCAAAGATTGGCCTCAGATGAGCCTATTCTCCCAGTCAGGGTGATCCTGTCACCTGGCTGAGGGTGTCTGGGAGGCATGGCCAGCACACAATGATACCTACTATACCCATGCTGTCACTTCCAATGAGAAGGCAGAAACCTGTTAAGTTTAACAGGGCAATGAAGAGAAAGGCTTCATTTCTTTTATCCATATCCTTAAGAACAAGGATCCGACAACGGCTAAGGAAAATACTCAAATCATTACTGAATAAATGTTACTTTTTGCTAGTCAGTGTAACCTCAAGGTGATCCTAATCTTGCCAATTTATTTTTCTGATCCAAATTTTCTCAAGGGGAATAAGTAAACCATTAGGTTTACATATTTTTAAAATAGGAGAAATTGCTTCACAGAGAGACAATCACAAGTAAATTAGAAAGTGTCTTAATGGACCAAGTCTTTAATGTCAGCATTCCACGACCAGTCAGGGACTGATGTGTGCAACATCCAAATTCTCATTTAAGTGAAGAGGGATCCTTGTTTCACGTCCTAAAAACTGCAGAAATTCCCATGTACCTCCTACAGGTTCTCCCTAGCTGTGCTGGGCAACACATTCTACAGGTACCCAAGACTCCCTGGGTGATATTTCTCTTAATTCGAGAGGGACCGGCAAAGTATTGAGAATACCCAGTGATACCCATTTCCACTCTGTACGTCCTCAAGGTATACACCAGGGTTCTACTGGGTGAGGACAAGGAAGTGGGGCTTTGTGACAACCTTCTGGGATTTTCGATGCACTGTATCCTCTGATACAGTCTAAGGACTGGAACTGCCTCTTGTTCCCTTCTCTAAATTAAGGTCTAAATATGCACCTGTGGTTTCTCACCTTCAGTATATGTTAACATGTATGGACTACAGGCCTTAATTCTGCAGTACTTTTTGTATTGAAACACAGATAAAGTTAGCTATTCTGCTACTCTGTTGTCTGCAGTACCAAACTCAAGAAAGTTAAACCATGCAGTTGTCCTCAACCAGCCCATCCTCAGTGATTCAAGTACTAAGCGTCTCTCCCCTTGGCTGCAGTGCCAACACATCCATGGTAAATGCACTTCAGCAGACACGGGCAGCTTTTCAAAGAGTGAATGCAAGCAACTTAACTCCAAAATACATGAACATGACCAAGAAACGGTTCTCTAACATATGCCATGTTTTGCTAGATACACATGAAAAAATAGGTTTTAAAATGTGAAAAGCTTTTATCTCCAACACTTAAGTCTAGACTTACCTACAAACATATATTTTCAAATAGCCAGACTGAGGTGCATCTTCTTCCTAAGATATTAAATTATGAATTCTGGATGCTGCTTCTATCACCAATTTCTAGTGTCAGGTAAGGAAAGTAGTTCCTAGAACTAAGAATCCTCTGCTGTTGGTTGAAAAAGCATCTGTTTTTAATTCAAAGCTACTGGGTATAGAAGAACCAACTATGGTTTTAACTATCTGTGTCTGGGTTTATAAAACATGCATCAAGTACACTTTTTCCTTATAGACTGAATGCAACCGTAGAAACATTTAAATATCTGTGGCCTGAGAGAATCTCTGATGACTAGTGAAGAATCTCAAGACCCCACAGTGGCTGGTAGCTAAACAGAAAGAGGTGTTGCATGACCGACTACTGAGTACTAATATGCAGCTGATATTTGTTTAGTATTTTAAAGCAAATAATATAAAGAGGATTATGACTACAGTGGGTCTCAATTACCGTTTTTCTACTTATTTAGGGCTTGATTAACTTGGTGACTTTTTACAAAAAAAAATTCACATGCACCTTAAACAGTAAATGAAATTCTCTGTCGCTGTCAGCAAGGCCAGCTTGCAACACCAGAGCTGAGAAGGAGAGCGTCTGCCTAAATCTGAACATTCAAAGATGTTTATAATCCGTGCTTTGAGGTTAACATGATACGGCCCAATTTTCCTCCTATGTTTATTATACGTTAAAGTGAAATGCCTTTAAGTTGTACAAAAATTTACTATATGGAAATTTAATATTTCAACAAATTTGTAGACCTGGGAGATTGGCAGCATAATTCAGGAAGAATGCTACCTAATGGGATTGAGCTTTTTGTTTATTCTAATTTCTGCTCCATCCGGTTTCTTAATTCTGTAATACTTTTTGTATTAAAACATAAATAAGTAGCTATTCTATTCCTATCTTGTCTACAGACCCAAACTCAAGAAAGTTAACAAAAAAGACATTAAAGAAGGGGCAGGAAGGGCAGGTGTGACTAGGTAATAAGCCACTTTGTTTTGACAGAAGAACCAGGAGGCACTTGATCTTCAAAAGACAATTTTAACTTCTGCCCCATATGACATTTAGTATAGTTTGGTTTGATTTTCATAGATGACCAGTTCCTCCTAAGTAGAATAACCTAAATGGTTTAAAATTACTTGGAATTATCTATGTTTGTCACTTAAATCTGCCCCATTACCCAAAAAAAAAAAAAAAAACAAAAAACAACCAAAAATGAAAAAAGAACCCGTTCTCTACATCATACTTTAAAATGAAACAAAAGCAAAAACCCTTGTACCAAAAGTGCTTTGTTGAGGGTTGCCATGTCTGTATTTAGCCTGAGAGACATCTAACATCCAACACCCAAGCTATGCTTTTAAAAACCATAAGGTAAATCTCTGTGTAGGACAGTACTTTTGAGTAGACTTACCGATACATAAGATACAATTAATATATTTTCTTTAAGAAATATCAGAGCAGAAACATCTTTGGTTAACTCTTTCCTCTACCTGCAAAATAAAATACTATTATATAATGAGATTGTTTATCTCTGGATCTTAATGATGAGTTTGTCAGTGTTAGAAATAGGGAGCAACACAATGGAAAGACTGTCAGAAAAAAGGAAGGAGCCAAGAAATAAAACATTCATTTGCCACATTGCCATTGCTGTCAGTTTTGATTGCCAGCAGAGAAATACCAGTGAGAAATAAAATAACACACATACACCAAAACTGTAGCCTCATCAGCACATTTCTAACTAGAGGGGTCAGTATTTAAAGCTGGCTACTTTTAGTATGATTTAGCTAATTCAACAGGAGGAAAAAAAAAACCACCCACAAACATTCCTTAATTGTAGGTTATTCTCCCACCACCACCAAGGAAAAAGTGAGGTGAAAAGTAGAAGAATGGCAATTTTAAGATTTTAAAAAATTCATTATGTCAGACCCAAGATTTCCATCCCAGTTTATCCACTCCAATTATAAGGACAAAACTATGTGATTAACATGAGATACCTTTGAACCAGTGTTACAAGCATGTCCCAGTAATTTTTCCCCTAGTAAAGTCTTAAGTGAAAATTAAATAACATATCTTGGCTTGTTAAGGACTGCCAGCCCTTGCATTATACACAGGGAAGGCAAGAACAATCTGAGGCATCACATACCAAGAACATATTTTCAGAAAATGAAGGTAGGCAAAGCCCAAGTGTACACGAGGCACACAATAGAAAAGGAATTTCACCATCTGTGATCTTAAAATTACAAATGGAGAAGGAGAAAGAATGAGTTTATATAAGCATATGTCTCTCCATATATATATAAATATTTATATAATTTACCATGAAGACATGCAAGTAGTGTTATAGCAACTATCATACAATATAATACAGAGGGATTGGCCTTTCAGTAATACAGTTGCTTAAGTTAAATAGCAAATATGTCTTATCTATTGCATTCCTCTGCAGTGTTTGAAACTGAAAATTAAGATTCCACACTATGCTACATTTCTTATGTGAGACTGTAAATGTCTCCATAGTGTTTGAATTTTTTTTTTTTTTTTTAAAGTTCAACACAGATAAAGAGAACAAGGTAAGTTCAGTGCAGCTTCAGGGCAGCTTTGATGCAGCATTAGAGTATGTTCACTTGATGACAAAGTATCTTTCTTTCTTTTCTTTTTTCCCAGTTTAACCATATTAGGATTGGCAGCAAACACAAGGTCAAAGAGAAAGCACAGATGTTTGCTAGAAGGCAAATTTCAACAGCAAGCAGACCAATTATTTGACCTTAATAAGGTCTTTACACCACAAAACACCCAGAGAACATGAAAGAGACCATTTTAAAAGTCTGGTATAATTTAATTTTGCCTGATTCCTGTTAGCAGAAGAGTGAGATTAGAACAAATAAGATCCCCCTTAGAGCTCTGTAAACTGGGATTACATGGAAATCAAACCGAAGCATAGGAGAAGCAGGTAATAAAACATCAAAAGATAAATATTTAGCCTAAATTTATTTCCAAAGATATTCATTCCTTATTGTTTAAATGTATAAAATACATAGTTGAGGATTATAAGCCTCAACATACCTAATTTCTTTCTCCATCTCTAAAAGCATAATGCCACATCCATGGTATCATCTTGGAGGTTGTTAGGAGAATGAATTTGTACCTAGAAGACCTACAAAAGCAAGGTCTACTCTGGTCTACTCCACCAGAGGAAACTCAACAGGAGAGACAGGGTCTTCTATCTTAAAGGATATTGCTCCACACTCTGTTCCTCTCTCCCTAAAGCACGAAAGCCTACAAAGCACCTTTATTTAGACTTTTTCTTTCTTTACCTAAGTTTCTCATTTATTATTATTTTGCAGTAAAAATGTACTGGGTTAAGAAATATTGCTCCAGGAAAAACAGGAGGGGACTAAAAAAGGCAGTTGGATTTGAAATTCCCAGCATGTACTACTAAAAGTGTATTAGAATGTATTGTTAAAATGAAAGATTAGATCAGGTGAGAAACACTAACTTTAAAATGTGAAATCCAGGGAGGATACTAGGAATGAGGCAAAGTAAACGTGTGGATTCTCAATACACTAGATAAACACACGAGTCAAAAAATACATGAGCAGTGACTCCCTGACACCGGATTTCTTACACATACCCTAGTATCTGAACAATGTTGACTCTCTAAGGTTGGGGAGTTTTGAATGAAAATATTAAAATTTCATTTTTGCTATATAATCTTTGAGTAGAGTCTTAAAATATTGGGCCAAATCCCTTAAAATTCCATTTCATCTCCTACTCTCAACTCATTTCAAAAGCAGATTAAAAATGAGAGCTCATTTAATGAGTTTTTCCCCTTTGGATTTGCTGGATTGCCCTTTAGTACACACATGCCTTGATTCCTGATCTGCTTGCTGCTTGCCTTAGGTAATTCTTTATCACATATTAATGTCTTCTTATAAATAATTTATCGTGTTACTGTTTTTGCAAATGACGATCAACACTGATTTTTTAAATAGACAGTACAGGGATACAACATGCATCAGGTTAGGAGGAAGGTCTCACACCTTTCATGGAGATGCAGCCTGGCTCCTATCTGCTGAGTTTACTGGCTGACTTACTCTTCCCTGGGGGGGTTTTAGTGCTGGCTGAGTGGTGGTGGAGGCTGCCAGATCCCTTCAGGCCATTCTTGCTGGGTTTACAGTGCTCCTGTTGGCAGGACCTCCTGGAGGAGGAAGAGCCTGAGTGGCTTGGAGGTGACTTGCTTCTCCCCAGATGTGGGGATGAACTCCTCTGGTCATGGTGGGGCCGTCCAGCCCTAGATGGTGAGGAACTAGATGTGCGAGGCAAGGAAGAGCTTCGAGGAGAGGCACTGGGACTTCGGCGAGGGACAACTGGGCTCTTGGGCGGTGTTTTTGGATTGTGAGGGGATCCTGGAGTCTTGGACTGAGTACTGTTCCGGGGTTTCTGAGATCCATTTTGAAGAATTTGGGCCAGACGGGAAAAAAGGTCTGAGTCGGAATTGCTACTCCCTAGGACTTTGTATCTGCGTAGCCTTAAGAGAACAGAAATAATTATTTTCATTTTAATTCATTTCAGGTGTGCCTAAAAAGTCACAATGTCCCAAATTATAATGTTATGATTTTTGTAAAATCAGAAAAAACATCATAAAATAAGCATTACTCATGAATACTGTGCTCCTTTAAATAATCATCTATCTGAGACCAGTCAGTATTTACCATGTACAAAGATGGGGGGGCAGAGAAGCTGAAAATATAAACAGTGTCACTGAACAGTGTGTATAGAAATTGTTAGATGGGAACCTAATTTGCTGTGTAAAATTTTCCCAAATACACAACAAAGAAAATAAATAAATTTATAAGATAAATAATTACTCTTTCAAATACCATTTATATGACCTTAGAAAAATTATTTAATGTCTCCTAGCTTTCAATGAGGAAGCTCTGTTGGCGTAGTGCCTGAGGCATTTGACTGCTAACCAGAAGGTTGGCAGTTCAAACCCACCATCCACTCCTTGGAAGTAAGATTGGTCATCTACTTCCGTAGTGATATCACTTCGGAAACCCAAAGAGGGTCACTATGAGTTAGATCCCACTCGACAGCAGTGATTTTTTTTTTTTTTTTTTTAAAGCTTTCAATGAAGTAACTCTGATGACACAGTGGTTAAGGCATTGGCAGCGAATCAAAAGGTCATCAGTTCAAACCCACCAGCCACTCCATGGGAGAACGATGCAGTCTGTTTCCATAATGATTTTACAGCCTTGGAAGCCTGTCCTAAAGTGTCACTAGGAATCAGAATACATACTATCAATCTTAAAGTGTCACTGAACAGATTAAGTGCAGCAGCCCACGTAACAGAAGCAAGATTGGGCAATCTACTTCCGTAGAGATACTGCCTCAGAAACCCAAGAGGGGTCACTATGAGTCAGAACTGACTCGATGGCAGTGAGTTTGGTTTAGTTTGGAGCCCGTGTAAAGTACTTATTTGAATGCCTGCAGTGTGGAAGCACTTACATGATGTTAGTTTCCCCCTTCTTATAGGTATGTTTGCTCTCCTAATTTTAGGATTAATTTAATGACTTGTGTCTAGCATATGCTAGCAAATTAGAAAGTTAAACCAGTTTGTTTAAGGCCGCTGGGACCAGGATTCTGCATATATGCAAAATTAAACACCACAATGTAAGTCTTCAGCATGAACTGCACTGACCAAGAAGAGCAAGAACTATGGATAAAACCATATTTAGTAATTTCCAAAAGAAAAGAGTGATCATTGATTTATTCTGGCATCAGTTTTTGGCCCTGACAATAGCCTGGGATACAGGAGAGCTGATGTGGGGACTGACTGCACCTCTTACTGGCAACTTGAATTGGGCCTCAAAATTCTAAATCTAGAGAGTATTCATACGTATAGCAATGTCTCCTCTGCCCTAGGTATCTTTCTGGTTTGGCCTAAGGATCAAATAAAATTGTCTGTGTAACAGTGTTTTATAAACTATATTGTACTCTATGAAAGTACTTCAGTGCTAAATACTAAGTAACATGATAGTAAGGGCCCCTCCAATAATAAGGCTATGGTAATTAAGTCTATCAGCAAAGGAACAGACAAATAAACCAATGGAGCACAGCACGAAATCCAAAAAAGATGCTCGTGTGTCTACGGGAAATGAGTACTGGAATATCACTAACGTCTATCATGTACATTGAAACCTGTGAGAGCTGGAACTCAATGAACTGCCTTGTTTTTCCAGGTATTGTGAATTTTCTGCATTGGACAAGGGGCAGTCTTACCACTTTTCTATCTCTCATTTTAGTGGAAAATACTTGCATCTTCCTCCCCTGACAGGTTTCTGCCTTACACAGGTTCTGGCTTTTGCAGGTTTTACTGTACAATAACCCCAGATGGATTAAAGATACATAAAACTATAGAAGTACTGTACAGAAAGAGAGTATTTTTTAAAAATCTTAAGAGTTAAAGGGATCTCCCTGGCATGATATAAAAAACAGAAACCATAAAAGATATTCAATTCTATGAACACTAGTTTTTTTCTGTAAAGCAAAAGACACCATAAATCAAATTAAAAGGCAAGCAATAGAATAGCATAAAGTATCATAAATGTATTTTGCAGACAAAGGGATTAATAAGAAAATCAACCCCCAAAGTTTTAAGTGATATTATAAGAAGTGTGGAGAAGAGACCTCATATATAGCTGGTGTGAGGAGTATAAATCACTAGAATAATTTTTGGGGGAGGGCATTTTGAATATAAAAATTATAAATATGCAAACTTAGCAATTTGTAGGCATTTATCTTCTAAAAAATATGGGCAATGGGTATATGGGTGAATAGATGGGTGGACAGGCTAAACAATTAGATATGTCTATGAAATGGGGAGGGTATCCAAGAACATATATAGGGTTGGCAGACAATGGTCCTATAAGTTTATGTGAATGATCAGAATTCCCAGGTGTATAGTAGAGCTGACAAGGGGCAGGGTTGTGGTCACTGCTTGGTCACAGCCAGCTACCTAGAGGGACCGAGCAGTTGAACCTGTGGGCTTGGGACCATAGTCACAGGGGACATCAAGCTCAATTGGCATAACATACTATACAAAACACTGTTCCACCTACTACTTTGGCGAGTAGCGACTGGGATCTTAAAAGCTAGCAAGCTGCCATCTAGAGGCAACAATGGGTTTCTCCTCGTCCAGAGCAAAGAAGAATGAAGAAAACCAAAATTCATGGAAACAATTAGTCCTAGCAACTGGTACACCATCTCATCTGCAGCCTATACAACTATGAAACCAGAAGAACTAGATGGTGCCTGGCTACCACTGTCATCCACTTGGAAGGGGATCTATGTAGGAGACTCTTGATAGAGAGGGAGAACAATGTGGAACAAAACTCAAAATCATTTAAAAAAAAAAAAAAAAAAAGGGGGGGACCAGGTTTGCTGGTCTGATAGAGCTTGGTCGAACCAGAGACTATGGCCCCTAGCTGCCCTTCAGGTCTGGAATTGAACCACATCTGTGGTTTCCAGCCAAACAAAATACAGGCATATGAGTTGAACATTTACCTCAAGTAGATACACTCCTTGGAGAGAACAATCTTGGGAGAAATAAGGGCAGCTTATACACAGGGAGACAGCTCAGGGGGCAGGAGTCCATGGACAGATGGACACTGGGAAGAGGTAACTATGGGGCGGAAGTGGGAGGGGAGCTGTTGCATTGTGGTAAACTGTGGTCAATGACATGAGACAAAGTATATGTGAACTGCTGTATGGAAAGTGAATTTGCTCTGTAAATCTTCACCCAAATCACAATAAAAAAATATAAATAAAAAATAATAATAAAAAAATAAAAAAGAAGAAGAAAAAAAAATGTGGGCAAAGGTGCTGGAAATTTATGTACAACGTTATTCACTACAGCACTGTTTATAAAAATAAAAATCTGGAAACAGCCAAAGTGTCCATGAATATAGAAATGGTTTAATAATTTATAGCACATTATATCGTGAATTATTAGGTAGAGCTTTTTAAATCAGTGAGATAGATCTATTTTTACCAATGTGGAAAAATGCCCAAAACATACTACGTTAAAAAAACTACATGTAAAATAATAATATTACAAGATCCCATTTTTGTTTTCTTAAAATAATTTCCAAGCTTATGTATGTGTATGTATTTGATAGGGAGATGAAAGGGGCTTTCACTTTGTACTTCATATATTTCTGTGTTAAATTCTTATAATACGTGTATTTTTAAACTTTTTATTGTGATTTGAGTGAAATTTTAAAGTAGACTTGTTTCACATTGTTTCATGACACTAAATATATATATTTATAATTTTTAGATACCAATAAATTTTTTTTAAGGTTATGATTCCATAAACATCTCTTTAATACGGTTCTAAACAGAAATTCCAAGTATTATCAGTATTAATGATAAATGGGATGACAGAAAACATAAATACTCTAAAAAACAAACCGAACCCACTGCCACTGAGTTGATTCCAACTCATTAGCGACCATATAGGGCAGAATAGAACTGCCCCATAGGGCTTCCAAGGCTGCAGACAGTCTCATCTTTCTCCTGCAGTGAGGCTAGTGGGTTCAAGTAGCCAATCTATCAGTTACCAGCCAAGCGTTTTAACCACTGTGTCACCACGGCTCCAATAAATGTCTAAGGGTTTAAAATGCATTCTATTTAAGAATTCAAACCTCAAACTGCTGAAACTCCTGCTCCTTAAATAAGGAAGTGGGAGGAGAACTTCCAAGGTTGCATTAGCACCTACAGGGCACAGGGCACAGCAGCCATAATCATATCATGGGTCACCAACAAGTTACTTACTTACTCTCTGAATTTCCTATCCTCCTCCTTCCCCACCACCTAGTTACTCTGAAAAGTAACATGAAACCGAGTTTGGTTACACCAACCCTCATGGGCCTTGCACAGTGAAACCTATGAGAGACAGAACTCAGTGGGACTGCCTTGTTTTTCCAAGTCTCCTACATCTTCTGCCTTTGATAGGGTTCAGTCTTACCAGTTTTCTATTGCTTGTTTTAGTGGAAAATATTTGAGTTTCCCTTCTCTGACAGGTTTCTGTCTTACACAGGTTTTGGCTTTCACAGGTTTTGCTGTAGTAAAAATTGAAGAATGGAAAAATACAATTCCTCTGTGCCCGGACCTAAGTGGGAAAGATCCAAGGCCCAGAGAGAGGAGTGATATTTGGTACAATGTCACGTTACTTAGATTGGTTACAAAGTGCTACTTTTAGGAGACACACAAAAGTGTTAAGTAATAAATGATAATTTAAGATTGTTTAAATTGCATTCTAATGCAACTCGAGTCACAGATACACCATCTCTGTAAAGAACAGATGCCAAGCAGGAAAAAAAGGGGAATGAGTGACTATTGTTCATGTAATCGCCTTTTTAAAAAAATGTCTCAGCTAAATGACTGCAGTTTATTCAGCATCATTCTTCCTGTGGAAGTCTAATCCCGGTGACACTTCAAATGCAAGGTTTAGTTACCGTAGGACCAGAAACCCTACACCAAGTCAAAACCAAGTTGACTTTAGAGAAGAGTAGCAAGTTTTGCTGGGTAATGATATAGACAGACTCACATTTGAACATACTTCAAAAGTCCTTTTAACAGGTAGAGGCCTATACTGTCTGGAACAGACAATGGTTTTCAGGAAAAGGTATTTTAATATTCACTTCATTTTTCTCGAAAGACCATCCTTTCTCTTCTCCCAGGATTTTGACAATTCTGTCCTGTGAAAGTGAGTAATGGATCCCAGGAAAGCAATGACTTATCACCTCCCAAAATTTTTCCTTCCTCTTCAACATATGGTCACATTTATCATGAGAATATGTAAAAAAGCAAGTATACTGTTTAGTAAATAGTAAAGAAGTATCTCTATTATTATATGTGGTTGTATTTAAAATTGGGCCTAGGGATGCCTTTTAAAGATATTTTTTTGTTTACTTCATTCTAATCAGATAACCAGTATAAACAGAGCCCATTCATGGAATTACAGACGTAGTATTTCATCAAAAAAAAGTTTGTTAAAAGTGAGACTTTAGCTATAAAAGGCTAGAAAATTACTACCTGGTCAAAATGCAGGAGTCTCTGCGTGACTCAAAACCTACGTGCTTGGCTATGAAATGGAAGGTTTGTGGTCTAAATACATCCAGAGCTACCTTAGAAGAAAGGCCAGCAATCCACCTCAGAAAGGTTACAGTCACTGAAAGCCCTGCGGGCACCGTTCTACTCTGAACACGTAAGGGCATGATAACTTGGAAGTGACTTGACAACAACTAGTTTTGTTTTTTCAGTCAAAATGACCTAGGGAGAGAAATCACCTTTAATGTACGCTAAGCACTGCATAAAGCCCAAGATGTACATTACCTTATTTCATCCTCCCAAAACCATGAGGCAAATATCTCATCCATTTTATAGATGAGGGAATTGAGATTAACACTGCTAGAAAGTAGGAGAGTCAAGTATTAACCTGAATCAGTCTGACACCTGCAGTGTGTTGTAAAGTCTGGGAAAGGCAGAGAATGAAGTGGTTGACCAATGCAGGCAAAAGAGAAATGAAACCATCAACATATTAAAATAAAATAGACATAGAAATAATATTACACACTCAACATAGGGAAAGCACAGAGAATTACCTAGCTTCTACTCCAGGCCTAGTTGGTGGCTTTCCTGGTGGTGGTCGAGGCAAGAATTGAGATGAAGTTGAGCTACTGACTTGATCTGTATTGGCCCATGAAACTGGCCTTGGAATTTTGCTCTTTCTGGACTGGGAGATGATGGGTGACAGAAAGCTATCTTCAGCTGACCTGCTCAGGTGAGAGTCTACTGCAAGTCTTGAAAAGGGAGTGAAGACTCCCTCCTCAGAAAAGGGAGAAGGAACAGTAGTTAGTTTCTCCCCTAGCAATTTATCAGAGGCACTTGAGAGGTCACCAAGGAAAGACTTGAGTTGCCTTTTTTCCACCAAAAGCTTAACTAGTTCCGGTTGAAAAGCTTTCTTTTGGAGGAGCTTTTCTTTTGCAGAGACTTGAGAAGACGATTCAAAAGCTGAGTCTATCTCTTGTGCTAAAACAGGGATTCGGCTGTGTCTAGTTACAAAGGATGACCTAACCACATCTTTCCGGGATGGGGGACAATGTTCATTTTCTGAAACACAATGAAATAGTTCTCCATTTTTCAGAGCAATTTTCTCTCTTTTACCTTCTTGATACAAAAAAGTAGAGAGGTCCCCTTGATTGCCCAGCAAGTCTTCACTCTTGACATCATCATCCTTAGACATCTTACTTTTTTGCATTGCTGCCACCTGGCCCATCTGTCCTTCAGCATGTGAGTCAATGACTCTTGAAGAAATTTCTGGAGTTCCAATTGCCAGAAGCCTCATTATCTCATGACTTTTGTCTTGATTTGGCACCACACTAAAAGTCTGTGTCTTTGTCACATCAAGAGGTTCAGTAGTAGCTGAGTGATCCCTTTCCATAGTTATCAAATCTCCTGGGAGAGGAGAGATCTCAATACAACACTGTCCTTTACTTAATTTCTCATCTTCATTATCTGACCCTAGAAGAATGTTTTTCTCCTCAGTTTCTCCAGGGAGATTCTCAAATTCTCTCACAACCAGTCTGCTTTGGTTAGGAAGATGGTCTCTTTGGCCCACGTCTTGGGATTTGTCACATTCTCTAATACAAACTTCCTTGGGTATTACGTCATGACCAATATGATCTAACTGAAGGCCCAAATCTGTTCTGCTTACTCCACTAGCAGGTTCACCTTCTGTCTCCCTTGGAGAGTGAAGTTCCACAGTGGGCTCCACGGGCTGAAGATCTTTCCTCTCTGGCTGCTGACCATAGTGAAAACTCCCTGAAGTTGACTGTGTTGATGCCACAGAAGGCCTAGGAATTGTAATCTGCAGAAGAAGAAGAAAAAAAGTTAAACTGCAATAATGTAGAATATAAACTCAGATCATGATGAATTTTAACATGAGTATCTTCTGTTTAAATTTATAAGAAGAACTTAGAGGTCAACTAGATTTACCCAACTCATATTTAAAAGGAATGATGCTGAATAGAAACAGATGGTAGTCAAACTCTGTTATTCCAGAACTGTGTACCAGTCTCCTTCTAGGTTCATCTTGTTCTTTGTACTGGAAGACTGACTTCCAGACTATACCATCTATGCTTCCTTGACTTCTAATCATAATTGGCTGGTCCAGTTTGCCAATGGGTGTTACCAAAAGAGGATCAGAGACTCAGAGACAGAGTCTGGGTATTCTCCCTGCTTTATCCCTGGGGACTGAAGTTTTGCTGAGGGCTATATTCTATTACTCCTGGCCACAGCTCCTGTCCGTGGCCCTTCTCCCACAGCTATGACTCTCACATCCTCCTCTTTAGGACTCACAGTAGTAATGTCTCCCTCTATTGCTGGTCCCATTTGTTCTTTTAACTCTGCCCACACATCTATACAAGGTTCCTTTCATTTAATTTTCTCCAACTCTTTCAGTGTGCCATCTATTTCTTGCCAGAATCCAGATATAGGACTTAAAAGAAAAAAAAAAATTATAAATTGAAAAACTCAAAATGATCATGTATTTTATGGAAGTCATGCAATTTATTTCCCATAAATTCTATCAAACAATGTTGGGAATATTACAGCTTCCTATAAACAAAAGCATGCAAAGATATTTAGTAATATTTCAAATCTTTAATATTTTAAGGACAAAGCCTATGAGAAAGTAGAATTCTACTATCTTCCCACTGAAGTAATTTCAATTTTATGTGAAGATCAATATCTAATAAGAATGTCCTTTTTTAAGACACTTACTGTTTCAACATCTTCACATTTGTTAAAATAAAAAGACAGAAAATGTCAAATACACAAACTGGTAACAGCAACAACAACAAAAATCAAACAAGCTCAAGTCACTTAATCAAGCTCAAATCACTCAAACCAAAGTCACTGCTGTTGAGTCGATTCCAACTCATAGAGAAGCCACAGGACAGAGCAGAACTGTTCCATAGGGTTCTCAAGGCTGTAAAGCCTTACAGAAGCAGACTGCCTCATCTTTTTCCTGTAGAGAACCTGATGAGTACAAACTGCTGATTTTTCAGTTAGCAGCCAAGAGTTTTAACCACTGTTTAACTGGAACTCCTTAATGAAGTCTGTCATATTCTAGCAAAACTATAGAAATTCATCTTATTCCAAAGAAAAATAAATTTGAAGCAGCCATGGGAGATTTACCCTAGACTCGATCTCTAGTCCAAAGGCACTGAGAAACCACTATGGTTTCACTGTCATCTAAGATGGCTGCATGTATTTCTTTTCATGTCAGAAGTATAATTAGGTTTAAGACGATTATCCTAAGTCAGCCCAGAGAGAAAACACCTAACATCTTAGAATAGCTCCTGAATGTACAATCAGTGTCCTGAGGACCTGTCAGGTTACTCTAAGACAGGCTATTTGGTTCAGACATGAACTTCTGTGAGAGCCCAGACTTACAGTGACTTACACTGACCTTGGGGGAAAAGGCCCTGCCTAAGTTCTCTTGGTGCTGCCACCCTTCAGGAAGTTATATCATACTTTTATCTCTCTTTCATTATTCTGAAATATATTCAGGCAGATGACAATTTTCTAGTATAATTTTTAAAAAATGATATTGAAGCCTAAAAGTTACAGTAATTACTTTTTAAGACCCAAGAGTGATAGTAAAAGGAAAAACATGTGAAATTATATTAAATGCTAAATAACAAAAGGTGATGGCTATCCCTACATTAAAAATAAACCAATAATAAAAACCAAAACCAAACTCACTGCCATCGAATAGATCCTGACTCATAGAAACCCCTCCTTAGGTTTCTGAGGCAATATCACTACAGAAGTAGATTGATCAATCTTCCTTCCGAGGAGTGGCTAGTGGGTTTGAACCACCAGCCTTCTGGTTAGCAGTCACATGCCTTAGGCACTATGTCACCAGAGCTCCAAACTAATAATTGTCACCCTATATTATGCCAAGTACATCAGACAATATGAACAAATTATTTACAAAACCAATACTCCAACTGATCTTCTATTTATTTATTTGTTCGTTCATTCATTCATTCATTTAAAATTGTGATTTGGGTGAAGATTTACAGAGCAAATTCACTTTCCATACAGAAGTTCACATATACTTTGTCTCATGTCATTGACCACAGTTGACCACAATGCAACAGTTCCCCTCCCACTTCCTCCCCATAGTTACCTCTTCCCAGTGTCCATCCCTCCATACTCTCCTGCCCCCTGAGCTGTCTCCCTGTGCATAAGTATCTAACTGATCTTCTAAGACTAATACTAGGGTTGCTTCTGAAGTTCTGAGCTTAATTCATGGTAGATTCAGGATATAAATGTATGTGTATATTAAAAAATGGAGTGACAATCATATACAGAAAAGATATCTGAATCACCAGACAAGAGGATCTGGTTTCTTGAAAAGATTCTGAAAAGCTATGAGCTGTGCATAAATTTCTGTCATATAATATCTCCAAAGCACTTTAAATCTATAAAATATTCCTAAATTCATTTTTACTAATTCCATTCTTATAACTGCTCTTTTGGGTAACACTATTAACAAAATTCACACATGAGGAAAAATATGGTCGAGAAATCAGGGAAAGGATTTCAGGGTTTTGAAAGTCACACACAGTGCAGACCACTGATGTGCACGCCACGCTTCAGATGAAGTACGGGAAACTGAATCTGCAAAAACATTATCTGAGGAGATAAAAGGAGAAAACTTAAGATCGATAGTTGAATACAGAGAAAGCTAATTCTAAGTGTCAGCTGAAATAGCTTCCCTAATCTTAGCCTATAAAGACACAAAAGCAATTTCCATACTCAGGACATTCTACAAATGGACTAAATAAATAATCTGCCAGTAAGCCTTATGCATCTTTTATAACTTTGATTTCTATAATTCACAAACATTTCAATAAGGCATGAATTTGATCATTCTTATCTTGGCCAATTCCTTTCCTCTGTTCTAATTGTTTCATCTACACCTTTCTACAGAATTAGAAAATGACTTCAACATTTTCCATTTCTTTCATATTTTATTTTTATGAATGCTTAGCACTAAATCTAATGACTCACATCAGCCCTATTATTTTATAGTTTAGGTAAAGCAGCCTTATTACTTTACAGTAACCCCATGTTTCAAGCTGGCCACACAGTGAGAGACAATGAACTACAAACCAATAACCACTTGCAATTTTTCTTTTTCTTTTTTTGTGAATTGGATGAAAGTATATAGAGTAAATTGGTTTTCCATTCAACGATTCATACACATTTTGTTTTGTGACATTGACTGCGATCCCCACAATGTATATACCACTTGCATTTTAACTTACAAATTATCCTTTTATTTTTCTCTCAAGGAAAGTGATTCTACTAAGACAATAAAACCTCTGGGAAATTCAACATTCACATCATATAGTCTCTCTTCAAAATGAAAGGTATGTGGTATACAAAAGATGTATCTATATCTAATTTTGTTTTGTTTTTCACAAAGACAATTTAAAAGAAATAGGGTAATGGAATGATGTATTGGTTCCTACTACAGCCAAGAATACTAAGTTACAGAAATAAATTCCTGGCCCATTAAAAACCTTAAAAAACCTAACTTTTAACCATTCAAATTTCTTTGGGCCACCAAAACTTCACTATAGATTTCTTTTGTTTAAAACATATTTATATAATACTTTATGTCGTTGTTGTTTCTGCTGTAATACATTATGCAAGTGTTAAAAATTAAGAATTAAACTAAAACAGTATTATTGAATCATGTTTTATGTATCAAATTTTTATTTCTGTAAAGAAACAGTACCCAGCAGTGGTAACATTTGACTATTAAGAAGCCATACATGATACATGAGCATGCCCTACTTTCCCACTCTTTACCTCTATTATTTATTTGCTCTGACTGCTTTTATGTTAGTTACTTATGCTGAAGAAATGATTGTGATTTGACCTATGTCGATGGATTCAGTGGTGGTAGTGGTGAGAAGGTGTCAGGACAGAAAGAACAAAAGCCTTTATTACAAACCAGTTGCCGTTGAGTCAATTCTGACCCCTGGCGACCCCGTGTTTCAGAATAGAACTACGTTCCATCGTATTTTCAGTGAGTGTGATCTTTTGGAAACAGATCTCCAGGACTTTCTTCCCAGGCACCTGTGTATGAATTCAAACTGCCCACCTTTTGGTTAACAGCTGTGTACTCAACCACCTGAACTACCCAGAGACCCCAAGTCTTTACTACAAAAGTGGGTAAAACTGAACACCTGACAACCTTAAGACCTAAGCAAATGAGAAACAAGCTGCTCTTTCCCTTCTCCTGTCATCCCACTCCCCAGTTACCCATTAATAATGGTTTAATGTGTATTTAAGGGGGTATGAAGCTGTAAGAATTTTGTAGGGGTAATAAAAACCACAAGCAGGCCAAGATGGACCGAAATAGAATATTTCTTGGCTGGCCTGTAATTACAAATCTCATATACAGCTAGATGATTTAACAGTCAGTTTTCCTAGCCCCTTGATACAGTGTAAGGAGCTCTCGTGGCATAATGGATAAGGCATTGGCTGCTAAAAGTCACCAGTTCAAACCCACCAGCCGCTCTGTGGAAGGAAGATGAGGCAATCTACTTCTGTAAAGATGTACAGCCTCAGAAACCCAATGGGGGTCACTACGAATCAGAATCGACTCAATGGCAGTGGGTTGTTTTTTTCTTTTCCCTTCCCCATACAGTGTTAGAAGAAAACTGTAAGGATCCATTTTATCCAACTGTCCCCAACCTCCACAGCCTATACAGACTTCTATCATAGCACCTATAACACTTAAACTATATTCCTTTACTAGACTGAAAACACTTGAAAGCA